TTGTCACTCAAGTTTCTCGTATCGATGTGCAGAGATCAAACAGAGTTGAATATTTCAAAAGCACAATGAATACATAGTGTAGCAAGCCAGAACATGGACAAATCAGGAAATGTAATCTGAAAAAAGTGTGGAACGCTTCCAGTCTAACTTCCCAAATAATAAACATGTCAGAGAAAAGGTCATACAGTTCCAGTTCCAGCTCTTACGTTCAAAACACCATGTCCTGCAGTGTTACTCAGGTTAGCCTTCGGTGCAATGCCCACATCCTTCTGGTGAGCTACGAAGGCTACGCTTGTTCTGAATTTTCAACAAACTTCTACATTTTCTGATGGGCCACACAGAGCACATGCACACTGATGAAGTGTAGAATCTGGGGACAAACCAACGTGGCATTTTTTGGCATAGTTTGCATGATGCAAAAACCAACCAAGGATAACAATCATTGCTCGGTTGTTGTGTTGTATGAATCCAGCTTACATTACCCATGATAGGCTGTTTCATCCCCAACAAAGGAGAACCCATTGGTTCTCTTGCGTTGATATTTATTATTTTATTTTTTTTATAGGCCATCCATCCATGACTCTCCAGGAGCTTGGGAACCCATGACAGTGATTCTTCCCAGGTTTCAAGGGAATCTGAGCATGACTGACAGGTGGCTTGGATGGGTTCCCTTAAAACTGGTGCTGGGAAGTTGAGCTGGAGCTGGATGGATTTGTACCTTTGAATAGGTTGCAGTCCAAATTCTTGAGATGCCCAATTTGTTAACAGGCTGGGTCCAATGCAAACCTGAATCCAACTTCCAGTGGCCAAGGAGGTATGTATTGTACATTCCTTGGCAATCTCCAAATTCCCCCACCTTCCTGTGCTTCAGGGCTTTCCCACTGCAGCAAATCACAGGCAAAAACCTCCTCCCATGGGACTGTTTTAGATCAGGAAATTGGGCAGATATGGGGATAATGGTCAAAAGAAGGAAACTCAGCATCTTGGACACGTGGATGATAAATCTGCTCAAAAACATCACACACAAATTCTAAAGGGCACGACGCCAAAACTCTTTATGGGTGTGTGTTGGGGAAAGTGGAGGGCAGATTTTGGCAGAACACTGCCTTGCCTTGCTCCAAGCCAGAGAAGCAATTTTCACAAGTGCAGATCAGTTTGGAAAAAGAACCCAACAGAGGGAAGTTAGCCGGTCAGAGATCGGGATGTAGGAGGCCTCCTTCTATTGAATCAGGCCCTCCCCGTGCCTCAGCCCAGGACTGCTGACACTGACTGGCAGAGACTCCCCAGGGTTCCAGGCAGGGGTTGGCTGAGGTTCCCTGGAGATGCTTCCCGGGAATGAAGCCAGCTCCTCTGCATGGGAATGTGCACCACCACTGAGCCGCGGCCCATTCCCAGGACGTGTCCAGATGCCCATACACTGACGTCAAGGGGAGGCGTGCGGGGACACCTGCCAAGGGCCTCCACCCAACAGGGCCAACTGAGAAGGCCATCTATGGGCATGGTGGGGGCCAGGTGGACTCACTGGAGGAGGAAGACAATCGAGGTCACCATATCTCCTACAGCATTTTGTGCATTCGCCATGAGCACCTTCCTAAGGAAGTTCTCCCAAGAGGTACAAGCAGCATTCTTATTTTCTGGCGCTGCTGTTGGGACTTCTGCAGTAGGAGACAAGCTCCGCCTGGCCCTCAAAGGGACTGGGGCTGGCCAGGTAGCCAGCCCCCTCTCTGCCTCTTTCGGACCATGCCCAGCCGCTTCCTTCGTGCCTCGGTTGCACGGTGACTGCTGAAACTCTTTAAGAGCTGCTTCTCTTCGCTGGCTGACAAGCTTCTTCAGTGTGTGGTGCACAGGCCCCGAAGGCAGATGGTGGTGGAACTGAAGTATTTATTCATTCGCTTTGCCATTTGAGAGACAAAAAGCTCCCTTGTGGCCCGGGGAAAATGGAGGCAGCGATCCTTGGCAAAGACGGGGAGTTTTTCAGTGCCTTTGCTGGGAAGTGCTTGGGACTTCTCTTGCTCGCTTTCTTCCCCCCTCCCCCCCCCCCCCCCAGCCTCCCATTTGGAAGCACACGGACTGCTGTCTGCTGAAGGCTGCATTTTGGGGCCATGGATAATAGGGCGAAATGAAAGCAGGCTTTTCAGTCCAGTGAAGGGGGGAGGTGCGGAGTCGCCGGCGTTCCACTGCTCTTCCTTTTCAAACATTTCCCCTACACACTCCTCTGACAGGCAGATGCCATTTTGCACCCACAATGCACCAGGAATGAGGCTGAGCTATCACAAGCCATCCTTCTGGAGAGCACTGGTTGGCAATTTGTGGCTCTTCAGATGTTTTGGCTGGTAACCGTGGAAAATGCCAGCACCCCTGTGCACGCAGTCGGCCCCGGGTTCAAGAGGTGGCATCACCAGGAACAGCTGGAAAGAACTGCCTGAAAACCTGGGAACAGCTGCCAGTCAGTGTCAGTAAAACTGGCTTAGATGGACCCATGGTCTGATTCCATATAAAGCAGTTTCCGATTTCACCCCCATGACCCCTCACCATGGGCTGTGCTGGCAAGGGCTGATGGGAGTTATAGGCCAAAACACCTGTAGGATCACTAACTGCCCATACCTGGCAAAGGGAATTTTGGGTCACAAAATGGCAGCCGCAATGGAAAACACGTCACTAAGGCACAGATGACTTTGGTTTGGATCCAGAGTCAGTTGTGTCTGGAACAGAGCAACTGAAGTCAATGGGATTTAAGTTTGTCATGGCTTACAGTTCCATTAATATCAATGGGCCTACTACTCTAACTAGGACCAAATCTGGGACTAATCCATTCTTTCAATACTGGGGCATTTTGTTTTAGGAGAATCAGACTCCAGCTGCTTGAAGAATACAGTAAATTTCATTTGCTATGAAATACCAATACCACCTATCAGATTTCTTTTTGGCTCATCCTCAGTGTAAATTTCTTCCTGGCTTGTCCTTATTATAATTTTAGAGTAGAAATCATACTATGGAGAGAAAATCCAGCGGCCAGGTAGCCTGAGATGAAGAGGCATACCGGGTCTGGTTTCACAAACTTCTTCTGTTTTTCACAGCCAAGTCCATTCCAGGCTTGATTCTGGGCATCTGTTTAGTTTTGTGCTCCCACAACTCCATATGGCTGCTTTGGTGCGGTTTCCATGCCATGTGAATTTTTGTGCCGGTCTTTCAAACTGTGCTCCTTTTCATATGGGGCTACCTAGAAATTCAAGGACTCAAATAAACACTTTTATTAGGTAGATAGTTTTTCATTGTGCACTTTACAAAAGTCTCCATTTCATTTCAGCAACTAGATTTTAGTTACTATAATTTAAAGGGGGATCCAGTCCATTTCTCCATTCTGGGGAAGGCTGTAGCCAGGGGAAACACACACCCTTCAAACAGAGGATCGCCCTCAGTAAATGAGGTCACCTGGCTACCCACTTGTGCATATCTGGCTGGTGGAATAGGAGCCTCTACGAAGAGAGATAGAGAATGACCATCACAACCTACCTTGGCTTAGGTCCTAAAGCAACCCCTCTTCACTTGGGAGTAAATCCTGCAAACATCAAGAAAACATCAGAAAAGAATTGAGAAAATTTCAGTGTGTAACTGCCACGAAAATATGCACAGGAGAAGACAAAATATCTTGCTTTTTGGTCACAATGGAAAATCGTAGGTGTAGGCCTTACTGGGGAGAGAGGAAGAAGATGAGCATTGCTTGAGATTCAGGAGTAATGGGGCTATGAGCGTCTGTGCGAAATATATCCAATATGGGACCCACTCAGAGCCTTTAAGTAAGAGCAGGCTCTGACTCACACTACTGGCGGGCTCCTGCCTCCCAAATCCGCAGTGCCCAGGCCTCGGCCATTCCCCTTTCCTCCAAGCCCCCTCCATTCTGCTCGCGTCTCCTCTGCAGCTTTCAAGCACGGGCTCAAGCCAACCTCAGTCCTGCACAACAGAAATGCTTCCCCCTCACTCTTTATAACCCCTGAGCAACTGAATATTTACTCCTGTCCTGAATCCAGGAGAAAGAGGGCAAGTAGTTCCATGCCAGGTTCAAACGGCCCAACTATGGCCCAATTTCTTTGACCTCTGAGCCCGCGGGAGTCAGAATGGCTACTTTGGGGAAGTGATGTCTTTTTGAAGACAAAGCAAAGCACAGAATGCTCCTTTTGAGGGCTCAGCGTGTGAGTAGCGGAGTGGCCGTAACTTTCCTTGGAAACTGACAGAGCTCCGTGTGTCCTGGGAGATCCCGATTCCTTCAGAATTAAAATGCTCTCTCTGGCTCTTCTTTTCTCTTCGGAGCATCAAGAGTTGCCAGCCTGTGCCATTTTTGAAATCTTTCCTGGCATCTCTTCTGGGAAGCAGCCAGTGGGGTTGGTTCTGAAGCTGTACAGAAAGTCTATTTTTCTGTTTGGAAAAAACGGGTGGGGGAAAGCACCTCAGACACAGTGGGAAAAGCCAGAGAGAAAAAGAATTTGACTCACTTGACATTATGAGAAGTCAAAGGAACAGCGGTTCAAAGGACTGCCCGTGTCATGCCCGTACCCATGTCTAGATTGTAACAGAATGCAGCATTTTGGTGTTGACATCACTTTGGCAAAAACTGTATATCAGAGAAGAGAAATAAGCATTTAAATAAAAAAGAAGAGAATTGAAATGTTATCCCTCTCTCTCTCTCTCTCTCTATAGATATATATATATCTTGTACCAGAGTAGATCCCGATGAGTTCAATGGAACTTACTTTCAATAAGTGGGTACAGAATTGTAACCAAAAGTTGCAATTGCATGGAAAGGTTCTTGGGAATAAGTAATCCGTGTTGGAGTTAGCAGACCCTTTCGCTGAGCCAGCATGCATGGCATCTGCAATCCAGAGGGTTGCCCAAGGTCCGCACATCCCTGCCGGGGACTAGTCAAAGCTGAACTCAGTCGGACTTACTTCTTTACAGTTAAAAAGCAATTCTGCATTGAACCTTCAGCTTCATCTTTATCTTGGATGAATGTCGATTCTTGCATAGGAATTGGCTTCCGTGAAAATCACAGGTTTGCTGAACGGTTGCACAAAGGATTTGACAAGGTTTATCTCCTGTGCTTCCAAGTTGTAGATTGCCATGACAAGGAACTGGGCAAAAGCCCCCACAGGCTGAACTTTAAGGTTCCAGGGAAGGTACGTCCTTGAGCTACCAACATGGCACAGCCTAAAGGGGGCAAGCAGGCAAGATTTCCTGCCTATATAACCAGGAAGAGTAGCTTTTCCTAGCCTGGCATTCCCCAGATATCTCATATCAGGAAAGTGTAATTATCCATGACTTTCTTTTTCTCCAAAAACACAATTTAACTGGGTTGTCTAGCTAGAAAAATAGCGATTTGGCTAACAGATGAAGGATGAGGCAGAACTCATCAAAAGGAATCCTCTGCCCTTATCCTTCCATGCCACAGGGAGGAAAACATGTGTGAAAACTCTCTGGGAGCTCAGAGTTTGTTGTTACAAGTGAAGGAGATGGCCCGGTTATCCTTGGGCATGGATATCGGACAATCTCTGTGTTCTTCAGTGTGTGAATGAGCAGTTAAGAAAAACCCATTCCTCTCTGAAAATTGCATCTCAGAGTTTTCCTGAAACTGTGAATTGGCTTTAGCAGTGGTCTCATAACAGTTGTAAGGCAATGCCATTCATTGCTGGAATGGAATTTTTCTCTCCTGCTGTACTGCAGTAAGATTTCTAAGGCAGTTTGCAAGCCAAAGCATATTATTTAAACGTCATTTTAATTGTTAACAATATTTACTTATTTATCTGGCCAGGGTGACTTCTTTTCTTTTCTTTTATAACTTTTCTTTTATAACTTCTTTTATATCGTTTATATTTTTATTTATTTTATATTATTAATTTTAATTTTATATTGTTATTTTTATATTGTATTGTATTTTATAATGTTGTAAGCCACCCCGAGGCTTCGGCAAGGGGTGGCATAGAAATGTTCTAATAATAATAATAATAATAATAATAATAATAATAATATGCACAATCAAAGCAAACTGATGTTGGAAGACTATGCCAAGCATGTCTGGGGGCTAGAGAAATAAAACACTGACCTGAAGATGCTTAACTGGGGTCACAAGCAAGAAGACCCTGAGCGGGACACGCCCCTCACCCAGGCCAACGCCTCCTTAGAAGGGTGTTTCCAATGGACTTTCTAAAAACCCCTCTTCCTAGATCTAGAATATGAAGTTAGAAATGCAGCAGGAATCAGGACTGAAAGGGATGGACAGAATGGACCATTGGTATGGCTCAATGATTCCTTGAGTCTTCGTATATTTCTAAATGGGAGATATCCAAGAAACAAAGGATTAATTTTTAAGTCCTCTAGTTTGAAATCAAAGCCAAATCCAAAACAAAGGGAAAAAGGGGCAAACATAAAGTAAAGGATGGCAATTTTCTGACATAGATCTATTCCAGACAACCTGGATATTCTATATCCACCTCTGTCTTGTATATGCAGCAAGACATATTATTAGTAAAGATTATTATGCACAAACTTCAACAAAAGCAGCCCAAACACCCATATTTTGGTTCATTCATAAACTGTAGTTAAAAACACCAACCTCGAAAGCTGAAACTGTTATTATTCTTCCAAAAATCTTAGACTTTTATTTTTCCTAAGGCCATGGAGAATCCATGGAAAATGGCAAGAAATGGGTAGATACTTAAGAGGTCCTTGTGCATCTGAAAATATGGAAGAACTTTCCATCACCTAATTTATTTGAATGATTAAGGGAAATGTTTTATCCAGACCAGTCAGTCAATAACTGAAGGATAGAGATTTGTATATTTCCCTGTAACATCAATGTTTCCCCCACATTTCTTAATCCAAACTTTCCCTTCATAATTAAGAAGATCCCAGAAAAATCTAAAGTTTTGTGTTGAAAAGCTAGAATCTATCCCATCTAGGAGAAACATAAAAAGCTGGTAATTGGGGCTTGTTTTTGTAGACATGGTTGAAGGAATAACCCACAAGAGGCACGATTCAATGAGCTGTTAATAAGGGAAAACTGAGCAATGGATTTGCAAGGTGGCAGGGTGAAATTAGATTAGCTGTGTGTGTGTCTGTGGGGGTGGGGAACATGGGGCCCATCGTAGTTCCAGAAGAAGTGCAGGCTCGGCTCCAGCCCGCCAAGAGCGGAAACAGATTCATGCAAGGGGAAAATGGGGGACTAGGCAGGCTCTGTGAATGGATAATCTAATTGCCTCTGACTGCAGAGGAATGGGCCGGCTGGTGCTTTGTTGAGTTGACACAATCTTCTCAGAAGGAGATCCTGGCCCTCGTGCATCCTGAAGACATTATGCCCACGCTAACGGGCAACCTTGCTTGCCATGTCTGAACGTGAGCTGGGGAAAAGCCACTGCAGGATACACTACCATCTTTGCTCACACCGTGGACCAACACCAGCTGGCACTGGTTGGGGTCACAATGCAACTGGACCAGAGAAGCAAGGAGGAATTTGGCGGTGCGGGTGTGGAACCCCAGATGTGAAAGCCACCCTGCATTAGGCGTGGCCGTGTGTCCTGCTTTGCGGAGGGCAGTTCTCTGAAGGGCTACTAGAGGACAGCACCATATCTGGGGGCTAGAAGATAAAGAATGACCAGCAGAGCACCTCCCCCAGTCATGATCCAGCAAGACCCAACCATTAACAGAATTTAATGAGTTAACTCATGAGTGCCAACTCTGAGGAAGGCTTGGAGGACATCAGCAACGGGGAGAAGCCTCCTCAGTGGCGGCCCCTCTGCAGCAATGGACTATTTCCCCACTGAGGCCCACCTGGGGCCAACCTTGCCCCCCTTTAGGTGCAGGGTGAAAGATGATCCTTCATTCCATGGCGTTTTAAGACACTCTAGGCTTTTTAATGGCTTGAGGGAGTACCCATCCCAGCTCCTTTACAAATCTATTCTATATAATGCATTGTTTTAGCTGGTTTAATTTGTAAGAATCCTTTTAGCTTGGAAAGTTTCATGGCATTTAACGCGGCTGTCTCTTTAATGAAGTGTGGTAAATGGGCCAAGGAGCTTTCACTATTGATTGCTGCTGTCCACTTCAGGATTCGACAGGTTGCAAACACAGGCCAAGCATCATGTTGCAACCCCCCATGGGAAAGACAGCCCACCAGTCATGTATTAATGGGGAGCCCCTGCGCTGGACTGGCATTTTCTACTTGATGATTTGGTGGCCCAACATAACAAATATAAAGGTAAAGGTCAAGGTTTCCCCTTGACGTGAAGTCCAGTCATGCCTGACTCTAGGGGGCGGTGCTCATCTCCGTTTCCCAGCCGAGGGAGCCAGCTTTTGTCTGCAGACGGTCTCCGTGCTCATGTGGCTGGCATGAGTAGGCACCGAAGTGCCCGGAACGCTGTTACCTGCTCACTGAAGTGGTACCTTTTTACCTACTTGCATTTGCATGCTTTCGAACTGCAAGGCTGGCAGGAGCTGGGACGGAGCAACGGGAACTCACCCCGTTGTGCAGATTCGAACCGGCGACCTGTCCATCAACCAGCCCAGCAGCACAGTGGTTTAAACCACTGCGCCGCCTGCAGTCCCAAACAAGTATAGAAACCAGTTAATGCTGGAATCCTAGACCTACCTACTCAAGCATAGGGTTGTGTGAGGAAGCTCTTTTGGGGGGGGGGGGGTTGGCTCCCCAGACTTGGATCCTCATTGTCATGTCTATGAGTTGGAATTGCTGGAGAACTGAGTTGCCCCAACAGCTTTGGCTGGACATGACATGGAAGAGGAAAGCTGGCCGGTTGCACCACTGCTATTCAACAAGCTTCCGAGGACTTCCTCTTGGCTTGCATCGCCAAGGAAAGAGGAAAAATTCTTAATTAAAGAATTAAATTAAAGTTAATTAAATCAATAAAGGCACATTTGGGTCTAATTCTTTTCCTTGTCTTTGCATCTAGATCTGTCTCAATAATTCGTTTTGCCAATGTAATGGTCCGTATATTCTTATACCATGCTTTCCCTGACAAATCTTTCAAAGGTTTCCGGTAGTTCACTATTAGCACATGTCCCGCTCCAAACCAACTGGAGTTGAGAGCATTTCCTCTAGTCTTCACTTTCCTTTAATTCATAGCCTGCAGAGAGCATAAAATCCATCCACGTAGGGGAAAATGGGATTATTAGTAGGAAAGTATCTGATGGACCTAATCAATATGCAAATTGGCACCACTGGGATGGTCCATTTATACCTCCCATGAAGGAGAGACATTTTTGCATAGAAACATGTCATGATGAGGAGCTACCTAAATTATACTGACTTGGCCTCATCACTTTTGGCTGTATCAGAAACAAACATAATCAGTGCATCATGATGTAGCCGGCCAAACAGGTAGATGAATTTGTTTCATGTGGAGTTTTTTGCAGAAATAAATACCTGAGAGCTAACCAGGCAATTTGAATTGTTTCCACGGCAATCTGCCCTGGGTTTGCTGCTGCATACGAAATAACTCTTTCCAGTTCTTGCAGACTCACTCCGGAGTCTTTGTGAAAGCAAAGTCGGACATTTCTCGCCTGCAGTCCCATTCAATCAAATTTCTTGGTTGTGGGGAAAGAACGGTGTGTGCATTCATACTGCACATGGGTATGCTCATTCTTCTTTTCCCTCTCTTTCTTTTTCACACACACACACACACACGCACACACACAGAGTCATAGAATAGTAGAGCTGGAAGGGGCCATGAAGGCCATCCAGTCCAACCCCCTGCTGTTGCAGAATACCCATTTACACCATCCAGCTCAGATGGATGCCCAGTTCCTTTTGAATGTCCCCAGTGTGGGAGAGCCCCCCACCCCTCCAGGCAGCTGGTCCCACTGCCGTGTTGCTCTGACAGTGAGGAAGCTTTTCCTGATGTCCAGCCTGGATCTGGTTTTCGCAACTTGAACGGATTATTCCGTGTCCTGCACTCCGGCATCAGCAGGAAGAGATCTTGACCTTCCTTTCTGTGGCAGCCTTTGAGGTCCTTATAGAGGGATATCACGTCCGCCCTCAGCCTTCTCTTCTCAAGGCTGAACATGGAGTCGATGGAGCGGGGCCACTGTGCTGCAATCCCTCCATCCCGGGAAGAGCAGAAAGCCAATCTGGCCCATCTTTCAGCCAGAAGGGGAGCAGCGGCTGGCA